AAAAAGAGAGAAGAAAAGTCTGGTTCGAATTAGGGTAAAAGTTACTCCCCCATTCAGCCAGACATGTTTTTATATTATTAACAGAATGGAAAAGACACATGTGCCCTTATTTAAGTGAGGGACACTAGTTCTAATATAATATTACAGATCAGCAACCTCAATATGAGTATAAAGATAGAAATACCCCTACACTAACACGAAGTACAACTGTCAACCACAAAAAATACCATTTGCAAGCATAGACATAAAGAAAGACTGGTAATTCTTTAGCATTGCCCTACATGATGCGATCTTTTCTCTCTTGGATAAAAATGCATTGTTTCTACCTAAGAGAAAAAGGACAAGGAGAATTATACAGGTTGAATATTAAGATACAACCACACAAAATGTCCCATGCTATGAGGGAAATCTCACTGTTATAGATCTGTTCATTGATTTGATTGGATAAACTGATTTAGTCACAAAAAAGATAAGGAGAATGAAGCAGTTGACTAGGCACTATTCTCTTCTCTAGCGCTTCCTTTCTAGATTAGAAAGTTCCAGTTGCAAAACTAGTGTTCAAAAATAGATGTTACATTAATGCTCAGAGAACATTGACATTCAGATCAATATTTTTAGCTGTGTTCCCAAACATTTTGAATATTTACTTCCATTTCAGATTCCTTTTCCTTCTCAAAATTGGTTGCATGTCACAAAGAGAGACTTCAAATCCTTGGTAATTTGACACGACTGGAAACCCAGCAAGACAAATCCTGTCCCACCACTCCACTCTGTCAACAGGCTTTCCATTGGCTGCGAAGTTTCAAGCCCTCAAATATTTCATCATGTTACTTCAGAATGAAAGAACCTAGGTCAAGGCACTAGCAAAATACCCTATTTTCAACATTTTAGTATTAACCCTGTAGCTCAATCAGTACGTTATTTCTTTCTTTTTCCTTTTTTTATTTTCTTTTCAACAGCCCTAAAGCTATCAATTTTAAATATCAGAAATTACCTACTGAAAGAACAAGCAAATAAGAATCTTACACAGAAACAATCCAATTCTCAGATTCTGTTTCACAGATTAGATCCTACTAACAACATACCGATCCACTAAAAACTTACCAGCTCCAATGGCATAAACATTCTTCAAGCCCCCCATAACTTCATGAGTGACAAGGTCACTGTTATCCCAAACAATGAAATGGGGCTGCCTCAAGAACTTTGCTAGAGGTTTCCTCCACTTATCAGATCCACATATCCGAGCATTAGCATACTCCTTGTTGTAAATCTCCGAAGCAATATTTGGTCCTCCAAGGTAAAGAATATTCTCCATGGAAACACCAGCTGCCAGGCACATAAATCATTTAGGCTTAGAAGGAAAAAACTGGAAAGTACAAAATAAAAAAAGTAAGTATTATCAACCAAGGAAAGAAATGTCAAAGTCCATTTTTTCATGAAGAAAAATAAGCAGAGAGTGAAAAGATAGACTGGAGATAGTTACAGGAAAATCATGCTTTGTGGGGTGGGATATGGGGGAAAGAATTTTCTTTTTTCCTTTTTTTTTTTGATAAGTGAGGTGTTGTCTAATAACTGAAGAGAAGAAATGGTTTAAACTTATACTGCTATTTTCACCACAACAAGTCATTGCAGGCATCTGTGTTATAGTTAGTTTTGGGTTGCTGACATAAGAGTTCATACATCTATCCCATCATAGATAAGCAAAACTGCTATCATAAATTCTAACTGTCAAAAATATTGCCGATAAGGAAAAAAACAAATGAATAAAAAAAAATCATGTGTGGATTGTTTACCATCATTTTAATGAATTTATACCATCCTATGACAAAGGGGGGAATCATTTTAATAACAATTAAAAAGAGGAAGAAAGATGGTTTATCATGAAATCAATAAAGCTGGCTAGTTGTGAATAAGTTAAAATCAGAAGATTTTGAAAGACTGCCAACTATGCCTGCACTGCAGGATATAACAATCATGAAATACACGGATATCTGAGAAAATTTTCCAGTAGCACCTGATATCCTCTTTAAATACACAATACTTGTTATGATAACATTTCTGCACAAGGTTAAGTTCCCGAGCACTCCATGCTTGTGATTCTAACCTCCTATGCAAGGTTAAGCCCCTAAATAGAGCTACCAAAGCTTCCATTTCTCAATTCTCACACTGCACCCCTGATTACCAGAACTATGATTCTACCATTGCTACTCAACTGTTCCACTACCAATGCCTTTCATCACTTCTGATTCTCAAAATCCTAAGCTTAGAACAAGACATTCTATTATTATACAAAGATAAAGATATATTATCAAATTCTACACCATTACTTAAGCTGAAGATGTTAACCTCTCCTGCATTCTTGAAAAGAACCAGCAATAGAATCTTTAGTTCAAGCTATAGGAAACAACATATACACAAGGCATGCGAAGCAAAAAAAAAAAAACAAGTGATCCGGAAGTTGAAATGAACGAAAACATAAAGAAAGTCTTACTTGCCCGACTAATCATTTGTGTAGGAGTGATTATATGGGGGACGGGATCCAATGCAGCTTCTATACCCTTCGCCAAAGAGATGATGATGGGAGTAGTCCGTCTCTCCTTCCAATACCTGCTAATCTCTTCAAAAACCTCACGAGTTTCCGTCGATGGCAAGCCATTGATAACAATGTCAGCATCCCAAACAGCCTCCTGTAAATTGGTGACGACCTTCAAAGGGCAGAGTGGCGTGTCAATCATGTTCAAGCAGAACCCATCTCGCAAAATCTCATCAGCATACAGCGTCCGATCGCCTAGCCGCGCTTCAACGTATTTCAAGTATGCACAGCGCCTGATCAGGCGCCTCAATACATCCTCCCTCGAATTGATCACTTCAAACAGGTGCTCAGCCGTGGCTCTGTCAACGGTCCTTCCGGGCCTTCTCCATATCCTGATCTGAACTTTTTCTCGGTAATGACCATAGCTGTCTTGCAGCAGAGCTGCAAAAACACTACCCCAAGCACCAGCCCCAACACCGACAATCTTCAGCAGGTCGCCGTCAGCTTTGCCCAAAAGGCGACGGAGTTCGTCAAGCTTCTCCTCCGTGACATTACCATTATGAATGGAGCCATTTGAATACCCATTCTGGACTACTTCTGCACTTCCAACCATCCTTTTCAGTAATAGCCAACCTAGAATATTTAGAAATTATACTCGATCACCACTAAATAAGACAGATCCAAATCCTCACACGTATCAAAAGGATTCTTCTTTGTGGGTTTTAACAATAAGATGCAAAGCTTTCAGCAGTGTTGATTCGTATCGGCCTATCAGCATCAAATTCGTTGAACCCTTGACACTTCTAAGCTACCCAAGTCCGATTCTTAAATGGGTTTGCTCCTTCCACGCCTCAAGCCCCCACGACACTCAAACCGTTGTAGTAACCAACAAATTTACGCTTCCAAATACTCAGAAAGGGCAAGAAAGCATGCTTTTATTGGTGGGTTTTTTCACCAAAACCAGGGCTAATACATACGAAAGCAGATTTTTCTTTGATTCTCATTAAAAATCTAGACGAAATTTGAAAGAAAATGAAAAGGTGTTCCACATGGGTCGGTATCTGCTTTCTTCAATTCCCACCAGAACGCATGAATTCAATCGTTCAACAACATCAACCCTCTGTTTTTCGGTGAGCTACCCAACCAAACCATCCAAAAGAGAATGAAAGAAAACTAAGAAAAGAAGAAAATATATATAGAACCTTTCGTGACGCAACTCTTGAGTTTTGACGCGTATTTGGGTGTTTGATTTTTCTTCAATTGGTCTTTAGCCAAAGGGACCAAAACCGACCAAAGGCTTGAAGATTGCAAATCCGAAAGCCGGCATTACTCAATGCTATAAGTTGTTGCCAGACCAGTTTCTTCAATTGGATTTCTTCAAGTTTTTGCTGAAAACCGAAAGCAAATAATAAAGAGAAGTCCAATTGAGGGACAATTCTGTTGATCTGTCTTTGTGAGGAAAAAGGCAACCTTTAGAGAGAGAAACAGAGACTGTCACAGAGGGGAGACGACACGGCTTCGCACGGACACGAGAAATGCATGCAATCGAGAAAGCGAAAGAGGGGCTCGAATTTGTGTTTATCTGTTCTGGTTCTTCGTGCTTTAAAGTTGATGAGAGAGAGAGAGAGGGGGGGCCGCTGGCCGCTGGGACTTGAGTTGGGTGCCCAGGATGCAGTGATGTTGCAGTTGCACCACTGTTACGTTTCTTTCAAATCCTTTCGGAAGGAGAAAAATCTTGCACTGTTACTCTCTTCGTTTCTACAAATTGATCCCAATTCTCATTCATTTCAACAAATTCGTTTTTGTATGAACCGATTTCAAGTTTCAACACATTTTTAATACAAATACCCAAAAAAAACACATTTTTATTTTTTTAATACCTACTTGAATGTAAAAAAAGAAGAAAAAGATTTTGATGAAGAATGGTAGCATGCCAACAGTATTGTATATCAGACCTTAATCAATACATCGATTTGCTTGTCCAAAATAAATAAATAAATAAAATCAATACATCCATTTGACATCATTATGATCTGGGTTTTGGCAAACGGCAATTGTTCAAGCAAGACAAATTTTGCCTGTTTTTCAAGGAGAAAGAAAACATACATGGTTTGAGCCTTGAGGTCAAAACCTTTGAAAACTTCCTTTTAAAACTTTAAACCGTCAAAACATGAAAAACATTTGTTAAGTACATTATAAATATGCTTCCAACAAAAAAAAAAAAAAGAAACATTTTTTTTTTCTTTTTGTTACCGAAATCCTAACCAACAAGAAAGTTAAATAAAAGCTTCAATTAACTTCTTTCCTCCATAGTCATGTTGAATGAATTTGCTTGTATTTCATGAAAAAAGAGTAAATTGTATAAAGACCCTGTACCATGGAATCAGTGACAAATACTCCAGTACTTTTATTTGCAATAAAGGCATAAAGACCCTGAACTTTTGTGTTGCGAGTTGCGACAAATACATCTCTAACCCTTAAATCTGAAAATGTGAAATGTAATTTAGCGTTAAATTATAAAATACCCTCTTCTTAATTTTGAAAATGTGAAATGTATTTTGGCAAAATCCATTCCTCTATGCCTTGCCCATTTTTTAATTTTCTATCAAACCCTAACCTACATAAATACATTGTGGAAAACCATTTGATAAAGAAAAAACTTATGTATACATATGTCATGCTAGTTATTTTAACCATATGAGAACCATTATGTTTATAAATTGTTGGGTTATCAAAGTGTATGTGAAAGGGTAAAATCATTTGAGCAAACAGTCAAATTAAAATCTTTTTAGAAATTAACTGACAGAATATTAAAAGAGGGGGCTTGGATCTTTGTTGCAAGGTAAAAGTTCAAGGGTCTTTTGTCACAAATAAAAGGACAAGAGGGTATTTATGGCTGACTCCATGTGAGGGGGTCTTTGTAATTTACCTAGCTAGTAATTTACCTAAGAAAAGAATTTGCCTTGTGAAGCTTAAATAAAAAAGAAAAAGTAAAGCCACCGAGTTTATTTTGAAAGATTGTATTTTATGTTATCTCTCGTAGGTTTGTAAAGTTTTCCTTACCTTTTCTTTCCTTTTTTTCAAACCAAACATAACCCAATGCATAACTAGTTAATATTTCAAGTACAATAAGACTGCATTTGTTAGACGTGTTAATACAAAACTCCATCGGTAGAAATAAAAAATGCTCAAATGTATCAGGGTAAAAAACAAACCGGCCGAATGCATGTTTTACACTCTTATATGTTTGGCAAAATGGTGTAAAATCATCGGCGTACAAGTATTGAAGAAGCCATTTCAAGAGCCATTGGAGACAAGAAGGGAAGGGAGGAGGTTGAGCAGATTTTTTTGGAATTTGTTGTCGGAGGTATATAGGCGATGGGCGATGGGACAATGAGATGCCTTGATTGTCTAAGCGTCTTCACATAGATGGAGAAGAAGGCGTTTGAACCTCGAACTTGGCACAATGAGAACAAAGAGAGAGAGAGAGGGTCATACGAGGATTGAAACCATGGCAAAAACAGGAGAGTTCCAACAAAGATTGAAACCACGACGTTGAGGGTTATACATTTCTGGCGAAGATTGAAACTATGCCAGAGCCGGTGATGAAGCTTCTGCTGAACTAGTTCTATTTTTGCCTCTGTTCCCAAGCGAAGGAGGCAGATGGTTGTCAGAGCTGGTGATGAAGCTTCTGCCTCTGTTCTCATGGAACTGTTTCTGCTGAGCCGATGATGGTTTCCATTGAGAACGTATGGGTTCAGATTTGCCGCTTGCAGCAGCGGTGGCGGACAAGAAGGAGAAGAAGAGAAAGAGAAGAAAGAGAGAAAGAGAGAGTGAGAGAGAGAGAGAGAGAGAGAGAGAGAGATGTATTTATTACATCGATTATCGATGTAATTCAACAGTAATTTTCGATGTAAAATTACATGTTTACCAAATGCTTGCAAAATCGAACCGAGGTGTAAAATTTACTCTGATTCGATTTTACACCTCTACCAAACGCAGCCTAAAGGAAAAATTACAAATAAATACTCTATGCTTTGATAGTGACACTTAAGGGCCTCAACTTTCAAGTGCCACAACTAAGAACTTTGAACTTTCATAAATCAACACTTAAGGCCAGCACATTAACCAACATTACAATGAGTGAAAAAATTAGCAAACTGCCCATCTTAAAGTCCTTTCATACAGTCTTGATAAAGAATTTGTTGATCTGGTTTTGAATATTGAAAATTTGATGCAAGTTCACTTTGATAGAACTCAAAAAGAGTCGCTAGGATTTTGAAATATTTGAAGGCACACATGACATCACATGCTTCAATAATTAATGAAATGCGGCGGGACTTGAGTATAGATTTTTGAAAGTTCATCAATACTTGAGGCCCTTTACCACACAAACTAATAAATGCTGCCAAACAGTATTTATGCGTTTTTAAGGCATAAGATCCCATTTAGTGGATAGTGGAGATGCATGCTGATTGGGTGTGTTTTTAAATATTTTTTACTATATAAAGATATGATATTTTCCCTTTTCAAACTTTAATGTATCACATCACATTGGTGATTCAAGAAAATCATTTTTGATGAATCTAGAAATCCAATCCCCTCACGAAACCCAAGGCAAATAATTGCATCAATATGTTTTCAAAGATAGTCTACAAAATGCAACTTAATTAACAATGTTTCCATTTTATCTAGCCTAACAAATTGATGAAACATAATACTATTAAGGTCCTGTTCGTTTTTCGTTAAGTTATTTATCCGGGTAAATGTAATTATTTGGGTAAGTTTTTCTTGGGAAGCACTTACCCAGGTAAGTGTATTTATCCATATTCTTTTATTTCTCAAGTTAAAAAGAAAATTACCATTTTAGCCATAAAAATCTATTATTAGATGGGGTATTTTTTGTCACATTTTAAGTGTTAGAATCTTTTCCCCCCAGGTGGGAAATTTATTTACCCACATAGGAGATGGGTATCACTTACTTGGGAAAGTGGTACTCAGAAAAAAAAAATTTCCCTGGTCCCCACTAGACCTGTTCATGGGCCGGGCCGGGCCGGACTCAGGCCGGGCTTTTAGTGTTCATTAACGAAAAAATAATTGGCCCGAGCCCGAGCCCGAGCCCGGCCCGACCAATAGGCCTAGAACTTGGGTCCGAGCCCGGCCCTGATAAAAAGCCCGAAGCCCGAGCCCGAGCCCGAAGCCCGACCTAATAAAAGAAATTAAAATTTTTCCCTACATTATCTATTTTAATTCAGATGTTTTTTCCCCTATTTAAATAAACACAATTTTACATTCTTAAATCAAAAAATTTATTCAAATGGAAATCACAGAACCCATTTTAATT